CGGGAACAGGGTCCGGTCATTGCACAGCGTCCGGGGCCGTGGCAGGCTGAGAAGCTAATGGCGTAATGGTTTACCCCTCCAACTCTGAATTCGGACATCAGAGGTTCGGTTTCTGCCTCTGTACTGGGCTGTATGCTTTTTAGCGCAGCCGTGCCTTTTAAAGGAAAAGCAGGGCCCTTCACAGCAACACGCACACGTCACTTCCAAGTATTAGCAGCCCTCATGAGCTACCGCAGTTATTTATTCATTCCGCCGTGCACCACTTCATTTGGGAAATTTGAGTGCACACACTGCTGCGTCCAGTTCCGCGGGTCTCAGCACAGGAAAGACATGGAGCTGATGGAGCAAGTCCAGAGGAGGGACACAAATGTGATCAGAGGGTAGAAGCAACTCTCCTGTGAAGTCAGGCTGAGAGAATTTCGGATGTTCAGCCTAGAGACAGCTCCCGGGAGACCTCTGAGCACTTTCCAGTACCTAAAGGAGTTCCGAGGAGAGAGACTTTTTCCATGGGAATGTAATAATAGGACAAGGGGTAATGGCTTTGAACTGAAAGAGGGTGGGCTCAAACTGGATATAAGGAAGGAATTCTTTATAGTGGGGTTCATGAAGCAGTGGAAGAGATTGCCCAGACAGGTAGTGAATGCCCCCTCCCTGAGAACATGAACAAGGTTGGGGCCTCTGAGCAACCTGATTGAGTTGCAGATACCCAGTGTCCCTGCTCATTGCAGGAAGGTTGGAAGTAGGCAACCTTTAAAGGCCCCTTTCAACCCAAACCATTCTATGATTCCGTAACTGGCTACTCTGAAGCTAAGGCATGCTCTCAAAACTAATCATTGGGAATTCCTTCCTCACTTCACCCGCTTGCAAGCTCTTCTTTATACACTGCATAGCCTTTACATAAACGAAAAATGTTTGGGTTTTGTTGCAAAATCACACACCTTTCATGCAACTGCACAAGGATGTTCTCGCACTTCTGAAGACTAAGGGATAATTAGAACGTAAACAACATTCCTAATCACAGCAGTATTGCTTGCTGCCTTCAGAGATCTCCTGGTTGTTTTATTTGATGCCGTCTGTGCGAGTAACCAGAGTGTCAGGCCAATGTGGAGTACCCTGCTCCTCTCCCAGGGCCAGAAGGTTTCTCCCCTGTGTAATGTAATGGTGTGTTAATTGAGTTCATTTGGGGGGAGAAAAATAAAAAAAATAAAAAATTAAGCCTACAGTAGTGTTTTGCTTTGGGAAACACAGCAGTACCAGGCAGACAAATGGGTTAAATCATAGAATCATAGAATTTTAAGGGGCTGGAAGGGACCTGACAGGTCATTTGGTCGTAACCCGGCTGTCAGGGACAGGTACCCCTCCCAGTAGGCCATGCTTGCCTTTTTCCGGCTTTATCATGCCTTGCTCAAGACCTAGTCCTGAACACTGCCAGAGCTGTGAGCCGCACAACCTCCCTGGGAAACCTGTTGCAGTGTCTCACCAGCCTGCCAGCAAAAAATTTCTTCCAGATCTCTAATCTAAATTTCCCCTCTCATTTTGTACCTGTTACTCCTTGTCCTGTCACTCCAGTTCCTCATGAAGTCAGGATGATGAGATGAGATGGGGAAAAAGAAGAGGAAAAAAGGAACAAAAGACGAGGAATGTAAGGAGCCAGGATGGTGAGATCAGCTGGAAAATCATGACCTCTTCAACACGCAACCAGGGCCGAAAACGTAAAAAACATGCGAGCCAGGCAGGAGTCGAACCTACAATCTTCTGATCCGTAGTCAGACGCGTTATCCATTGCGCCACTGGCCCCGCACGTTAGGTAGTATTACCGCTATCCCCTATAGCGAGAGCAAGGCCGCGGCGCACCCCGAGCAGCCCCGGCGCCCCTCACGGGCCGGGCCCCGTCCCGCCCTGCCTGCAGGGGGCGCTCCCGGCGTTCCCGCCCCGCCCAGCGCCCGGCCGTAAGGCCCGCCCGAAAGTAGCGCGTGCTGCGCAGGCGCGAGGCAAGCCGGCGGCGGTCTTGGTGCGCGGCGGCGCCCTGAGTGGCAGGTCCCTTCGATAGCTCAGCTGGTAGAGCGGAGGACTGTAGCGGTTGCGCCCCACGGGAATCCTTAGGTCGCTGGTTCGATTCCGGCTCGAAGGAGACGCTACGTTTTTGTTTTTTTTTTTTCTTTTCTCCCTCCTACACAAAGCGCTTTTCAACAATTTCTCTTTTACCTTTTGCAGATATGGTTGCTTTGCTCAAAGAGTTCGCAAACCAAGCCTATGCGCTATGTCTCGCTCTCAGGAGCGGCTGTTCCTGTGGGAGCAGGAAATGCTGCACCTAATACAGGACTGCCAATACCTGAATTTCTAAAGGAGAACAAGACGTGTGTTCGTATTTCATCGTGCCACAGCAAGTCAGTGCAGGAGGATACCGGCTGAGATCCCTTTGTCTCATCGCATCTAATTAGGATGTTGAAATTCTGAGGGTCATTTTTCCAAGTCTCCTCTCTTCCAAATGTCTAGACACTGTTTTTACAGCATAGGGCTGTATCTGTACATACTGCCACAAAAGGAATACATCTAGCCAGCTGAAGTGTTCAAGTCCAGGCTGGACAGGGCACATCCCTGCCCATGGCCGGGGGTTGGAAATGAATGATATTTAAAGTCCCTTCTTACCCAACTCATTCTAAGATTAGTCAACTCCCTTACTTGAAAATTTCATGTGTTTACCAGTGTCTATCTATTACAGGTGTCAGCTACCACACAGTTGTCCCATCTTCCTGCCTTCCCAACCCTGAGATGGGTGAAACTGGCATGAAGGACTGAGTCCTCTTGTACCAAACTCTGTACCCATTCATGTCTCAAAGTGAAAGGAGAAGCTGGATGTGATGACTGAGCTGACTTCAGTTTGTGGAGGGAAGCAAGGTTGTTATGGTTATCTGGTCATTTCTCTCTGGTTCGTAACAGCACACTCTTTTCTACAGGAAATGATAGCATAGAAAAATAAATCAATAATTTTACCTGTACTCAGTTTAGCATGTTTCTTCACTTCTTTTTAATGATTTTATTCTACAAAGAGGCAGAGCTGTAATTCTTTTTGGCTTAAATAATATTGGTATTCATTCTTATACAAGGTAGGCAATCAAATTAAGTGACATACAGTTATGATTGAAGTTTTTTGTATTAAGCATTGTGGCTTATCCCACAAACTTGTTGTGGGGAGTAAAAGTGCACAAACTACCTAAATAACTAGTTACATGGTGGTACACCTTAAATTGTCTATGCTGCCTCTTCTGTTTGGTGTTTTGAATGAACCTGGATATGTGTTAATATCTAAGCACACAAAGGAACAGATCTTTGAGAATACATCTATCCAAAACAGTTGCCCCTTGTCCATTTTTCAAATGCTTGGGCTTTTGTGGTCACAGAGGCTCGATACCAACCTAGTGAGAAATATTAGTATATTGTAGCACGCCTAGATTATCTGGCAGTCTGCGCTGGTCCTTGAGCAGATGCAAAACACCAGAGTGAGGTGCTGGGTGTCTCAGGATGTCTGCTGTTGCCCTCAGCAGTGCCATGGTTCTATTCTCTGCACACACCTTTTGCAGGGGGAAATTGTTCCATGTAGGCACTGATTCAAGTGAAACTACTAGTGTTACATCACTTTGTCACACTCATGATTTTTTTTACAAGCATTCTGCATTAAGTGAAGGACTTACAATGTGCGGCCATAGCCCTGGCTGCTTTGCATGGGCAAGCACATCTGCTGCAATCCAAGAGCTAGTTCCTCTTTGGGGAAATCCTGAGTTGCCATTCGACACTTGCCAGGTTGCAAAGCTATAACTTTGGACAGCTGTCTCAACAGCTTCTCAAGCTGTTACCGGAATGAAGTTGTTTATAGCGTGGCAAGGTAAAGGGAATGCTACAATTCATATGTACAACCTTTATTTAGTCACAGTGATTGACAGCCAAGGTAGATTTGAATAGAATACATGGAAGTTTACATATAAATAAATGTAGCAAAACAGAGAAAAAAATTGAGACTCTGTACTTTTTGAGAAGATTTCTGGGTGTGCAACTTGACTGTACACAAAAACAAATAATATTAGCATGTGTTCACGTTAGGAACTTTTCTGAAAAGCAGAAAAAGGAGTAAAATCACACTGAAGAGCTAAGTCCTGAAATCCTTTTTCATCCTTTCTCCACGTGTCCTTAGAATAGCTGATCTTCACATCAGTAAGAGAGAAATGCTCTGATACTTTTAAAACTAAGTTTCCCATTTGAAATTAAAAGTTTAGACACTCAGATCTCTAAGCTGCAGGTCCTGGACAACCCCCTCAGAGGCTTGGTCACTGGTTTGTTCTGAGGTTTTTTTGCTGAGATAATGTGTTGTGGCTCTTCTGTACAGAACCCTGTGTCTGTAAATGAGACTTGCAAACATGCAGCAGCTTGTCCATCTTTGCTTCACACTGTGAGAACAAAAATTTTTCTTTTCCCAAGAATAAGCTCTCATTTAGAAAGTGTAAATAAGAGCCACATGACTTGCTGTACATCTCAGGCTGATAGAGAAAATTTCCTTGATTATGGTGAACTTTGGCTCTGGCCCTCTAGACACATCAGTGGTGTTGCATGTGAAAAAATTCCCCAGTTGCTTTTGGTCTTATGGGATTTACTTCTTCCTCTCTGGCTTTAGGCCTGCTCTATAGCTGTTGTCGAAATCAAGGGTGCAATTCCCAGTGACTTCCATGGGAAAAGGAGGATGGATTTCACATGGGAAAGGATTCCACATATAGAACGTAGCTTTACACCAGACTTTTCTCCCAGTGCCTCTTTCAGCTCTCTGCTGGAAATAGTCACTAGGTAACATTTGGACATTTTCACACTAAATTTCTCTACTAGACAGTGAAACTTAGGAAATTACTTCACCTGCAGATTTATTATGTACTCTCCATACTCCTTCATTGGGGATAACATCCCATGCCAGAACAAACACCCTGAAAAGGGGAATAATGAAGAAAGCCAAAAGAGGAGTGTGTGTGCTGGTGTCCACAGCACATACCTAGTCTCTGGCCTCTGTCCATCTCTCAGCACCCCAGTGCTGTCTGATCCATCCCCCCGATGGGAAGATGTGCAGCACTCTGCTACCGCTGGGGTCATGTCTCCTCAGTGCAGGATGGTGTCACCAGCCCCCCTCTCCTGGCACCACTGGGTTGGATGGGCACATCCCCAGTGGGCAGGTAGGATGGCGGTCTGGAGTTACATACATACAAGTGGTTCCCAAAATCATTGTAACTGAGGACAAAGGAGAGCCTGTGACTAGGAGGGAAGCAAGTGTCTGTGCACAACTCTGGCCATGCCAGGATCTTCCCTCTTTTCTGAAGCAGAAAACCAGGGCCATTTCTGAGGGCAGTGTGCATGTTGGCTGTCCCCAGTGCCTGCATCCAGAGAACAGATATATAACCTGAACAGGAAATAATGGTCTTGAAAATATCCTTGTGTTATGGGACTTTTAAAGAAACATTGAAAGTAATATGTCTTGATTTTGGAGTTACAGCTGGTTCTATAAAACACATTCTTTTCCCATATATTTAGCTGGATGACATTTGACTTCAAAGGTGATAGAAGGATGATAATAATTTTTCACAACTGCGGGATCCAACTTTAAGCAAGGAAACAACACTTTTAGCTAGGTATATATTCACCAGTCTGTATAATTTACTGGAACACTGTGAGCCCCTTTAGACCACAGCATGCAAAAATAGCAAATACACAGAACTCACAATGACTGATGTAAAATGATCAATAAGGAGAAATTCAGCTGCCTCAGGCTTAAGCTACTATGTCAAATCAGTGAGGTGCTAAGCTTAAGATCTTAGAGGTATTCCTTTAGCTCTTATGAATTAGTGGCCTAAGTTCTTCATGCTTCCTTTAGCCATACCCACATGTATCTCCACTGATTTGTGCAGCGGTACATCTGAACATACACCTCATTCCTGCCTCTTTATTTAAAATCATGCCATGTGCTCTTACAGGCCCTGTGCCTGGCACAGGAGGGAGGTTTCAGTCCTACCCCAATGAGCTGGTGAGGAGGACGGTCACTCCTTTGCTGCCTGCTTTCCCTGCCAAGTCCTTGCTGCTCCCACAGCCCCAGTGCCTGTGCTGCTGTGATGGCTCCCAGCCCAGTGCCAGCAGGGCAGTACCGCCACACGCTGAGGGCATGGTGGAATAAGCCAGCTGGCAGAAAGCCGTTGGCTGGGAACCAAAAGGAGGAGCTGTGGGAGGAGGAGAGAGGCTCTGGGACAGCCTAGGACCAGCCTTCCATTTCCCCTGGTCTTTGCCCACTGTCTCATGGGTTTGCAGATTTTTTTATGGATGAGGCTCCTGGATTTGGAGTGACCTGCAATAAAACAACCATCAGAAAAATCTCCTAGCACTTTGTCTTGGTTCAGCTGCCCTCCAAAGAGCACTTCCTCTCTGGCTAGGAGAGTCCCATCTGTCTTGCCACCAGCTTTCTCCCTGAGGCCGGCTAAAGAGCACTTCTGGGGCTCCCTCACGGAATGTTTCACATCCAGTAAAACTGCTGCATGCAAGTTCCTGGAGCAGGGAGAGACAGCCAGTGTGCCCATAAAGGGACTCAGGACTGTGTCTGGGAGGTGAAACTACAAATGAGAGCAGGGAGGAGACCAGTTATACCAAAGGGAATATTAATGGAGAGAAAGATAATGTGAAGCTGTGAGAGACCAGCATGCTCCATACAGGCCATATGTATCTCCATACACAGTGCAGGTATTGGAAGTAGCATAGAGGGAGGTTCTGCCTCGGTAGGAAGTTGCTCTCAGATTACTCTTGATTAGCTTAAAGACAACTATGAATACAGGCTGCAGAACTTAACACATGTTTTTCTCACTGTGAGACTCAGTGAGAAGCACCAACAGGTCGCTCGCCTGCTCTAGGACTCTGTGCGATAGCTCCGATGGCTGTCCCCAATCAGTTGTGTCTTCTCAGTTACGTTAGTCGGCTGAAGCGTAATAGGAGTTTCTCCATCTAAATTGGAGAGGACAACAAAGATTACTTTAAGAACCCTTCATTTGCTACCAAAGTCAGATTTCTTGTTAGCATCATGACATTTCATTTGCTGTTCTGGTTGCAGCTCAATTTGGTTTCATAGACAGCTGTGTGAGTACTAGTAAGGTGTCACTGCCCACACCAAGCCTACAAATGCTCTTACTCCTACTTCTCATACAGTGGCAGATTTCTGGGTGTTGCTGCTGCTGCTGCTGTTAGACTGGACATTTGCTGTGCCTTGTGCTTTGCAGAGCTTGCAGGCCAAAGGTTCCTGCCTGTTCTAATAGCAAGTGGCTGTTCCTACAAATGGCTGAATAAAATCAGTGCTGTTGTGAGTCAGCAAGCACTAACCTTGACAGTGTTTGTGAGAATGGGACAGAAATGAGTCTTGAAGAAGGCAGAGTTAGCAGTAAAGAAAGAGGAGAGTTAAAAGTGCGTGAGCAGTAATAGTAATACACTTGAGAGGAGAGAAATCATATATATCCTGAAAGCCAGCTAGTTAAATAAAAATGCTAAATTGAATTTGAAGTCTTACGTAATGTATGTGCAATAGGGTTCTGGGATTACTATTTTAATGAATTTGGAACTACCGAAACTTTATATTGTCACTATATAAATCCTCACTGCTGTGTACTTTTTCACTCTGTGCGATTTTATGTTTGCTTTTCCAATATATCTATTAAAAAATGCATTTGTTGTAGAGTGGAGGAAAGTAGAAGTAAGTCTTTACAGAGTTCCTTGATGGCTACTCTGTTCCATCTGATAAAAAACAAGGTTTGGTTGCCCTTCCAACCTGCCTCTTTCCAACCTGCATGTTTTTTGGAGGGAGAGAAATACTCAAGTCTCATAGACTGAGTTTTACAAAGTTCAGCCATCTTAGTGAAGTGTTTCATATGAAAAACTTTGGACTATCTATATCTTGATACTAACATAGCTTTCACAGTAATTGACTACAAATTATGACTTTTTCTGCCAAATGACCAAATGTTCAGGAAAAAAATCTCATCTGACATTTCCTTCTGTTTACATGACAGTTGATGGGATGAATCATGGGCAAAAGATGTAATGTACAGGAGTAACTTAACCCAGAGCAGGAATCTAATTGCGTGCCATACGGCTTCCACTCAGTGGGGGCAGAACAACTTTGACTCTGTCAAGGTGAAAGGCAAGAATGATTAAATGCCAGGCAGCTTCTCTGTATGGGCAATTCCATATTTAGACACAAGGTCAAAGACAGACATGTTTCATAACTTCTAAAAGTATGTGAGTAATTAATGCTTTGAGCTCAGCTCAGGCTCATATTAGTTTGGCAGTTCCGATCCATTTTTAAGTTGCTGTGTGTTTTCTAGATTTCTGAGCAGCATTCCTTCCCACCCACTTCTGCCTCCAAGTTGTTCATTTTCTGTAAGATTGTTGATGGAGGGCAGAGATTAGCAGTTCATTTTGCTGTGATACCCAGGTGTGCAACAGAACAGGACCCACTGCAAATCTGTCACGTTGCCTTCAGCTGATCTGCAGACGGCTCTTAGCTGACACCTTCACCAAGCATTTTGCTGCTTGCACCCTTCTCAGATTTATGATAGGGTTTTTTAGAAGAACAGAGACCCGTGGCATAATAAACTGTACAAATATAGTCTGCTAATGGCAAGCTGCAGAATGGAGGTGAGGCAGAATTCACAGTTTAAACTGCTTTCTATAGATAGCTCCTGCTCTCTGTTCGCCTACATTTGTATCATATGGAGTGTGGAGGAGACAATGAAGTGATAAAAACTTATTGCATCTGAGTTGGGAAAGTATTTTTCTACTCAGGTTCTTTTATTCTTTTTCTTTTTTTTTTTTTTTTTCTCTCTCAGAATTCATTTTCTGTAAAATAAAAGTTGGTCTAGAAATGCCTTGCTTTGTTCTTACAGTGATAACTGAACAGGAGAGAACAGACCTGCCAAACTGCTTTGAGTGCATCATTACAGCCTGAAGTACAAAGGCAGTCCAAATTCCAATGCCACCTCCTCCAGGAACACAAAAGTTAACAGAAATTTTGCCCTCAACTTCAGTGGAAGCAAAATCTGTCAACCTGCTCCATGTGTGTGGGAAAGTGATGAAATGTTGCACGTGTCTGTGCTGCAGACAAGCGAGTGGTACTTTCCTCTGCCAGTGCCTTTTGACAGGTTACCTGTAACATCATGGCATGATACCAAGATTACCTTATCTTGCATCTTTCTAATGTCATGTTTGATCTGAGACACTAAAAAATGTCATGTTTAAAATGTAATAACCCAAATATAACATTTAATTTTTGGTCTTCTGCTCCATATTATGTCAGAGTATTCTGGTACAAATCAATAGTTGTGAGGAGAAATCCTTGTAAGCTAAGTGTGTTCCAGGGCTTGCAAACCCCTAATTTCCTTTAGTTCTGATGGTCATGTTACCCCTGGAGGTACATGCTGTAAAACAAGGCTCTCAAGGAAGACATTGAACTAGCTGAGCACTAGAGCTAGTCAAATTTATTTGACTAAAACCTTCTTCTAGAGGAATATAATTTCCCCTAGAAATTCTCTTTTTCTAGAGAAGTAGCATTTCAACAGAATTTAAGCCTTTGGCATGATTGTGTTGATTATAGAGGCAACTCACTTTTCTCTTACATTTTAGAAAATGGATCACTGAATCTTTGGCCTCAGCTCTTTCTTTTTCACTAATAATTATGTTTTATGTTATGTTAGTTTGAGGAATGAAATAAACTGCGTAAAACCTTAATTTTGTGACTAAGACATGTGAAGAACTGAAAAATTATTATAGTTGTGACAGTTTGATAGTTGAAGTCTAAAACTCAACTCTTGAGCAGTACAGACAGCACCAGGCAGCTCCCACTGAGCACAAATGCTAAGGGCTCAGTCTCAGAGGTTTTTAGTATCAGGAATTGTGATGCTTTATCAATGATGCATTCCTCAGAAAAGCAATGACTGATTGGCTTGAAAATCTACATTTTGACCTCAGCAAGAAGTTCTGGTTAGCAATACTGTAGATGCTGAAGACAGCAGGAAGCAAAGAAATTAATTACTGGGTAGAATGCTCAGTCTGTGCTTAGAGGACATGCAAAGAACTTGGATCCTAATAGAATCTCCTCTTCCAAAATTAAATCTGCTGCACAAGTGATTACAGTTTGTTTCTGAATTACATACAGGAAAATTTCTATTATTTACCTAAAGGAAGGCATGAGTATTAATTTATATGGATCAACATTCAAAAATGCACAGTCTTTGCTATTCTAAAAGTCAGCTGTGTCTTTCTGGTCAGCATGCCTGAAGCTGGGATGACAAGGAAAGAAGGAAGGGAGGAAGCACACTTTGGTCTGGTTATAATTTATTTATTTTTTTTCCTAAGTGCATTGTGTGTTTTCCTTTCAACTGCAGAAAAGATGCTTGTGTTACCCTGTATCATAAAGCTTTTATTTTTATTCCTTATACATTGCTCTCTTCTAAAATAAAGAGAATGCTACTTTACTGAGACTTGCTGGTTTTGACTAGGAGGAAACTGTAGCAAGACTGGAGAGGACAGTAGGAAAAGTATAAATATCTAGTTTTCTTCAGACCCTACCTATATGTTTAGTATTGTCTTCCAAATACTTAAAAAATGAAATTCCACATTATGTTAATTTTTCAGACTGGTACTTTGCTAAACATTTAAAATTAATTTTTAAGACTGGTCTTAGTGGGACTTGGTGAGAATAAAGAGATGTCAAGGGGCCTAAAGTTAAAGAATACCAATATCTTCTGGTACCTGTGCCAGAAGGACAGAGCTGTTATTTTTCTGCCACTGGGGAATTTTGTGCTGGATTTTGAGGGAGAATTAAAATTAAAAATAAACCAAATTTTAAAAAAATAATATTAACAAAATGGGCAGAAATTAATCATACTGATTCTTCAAAGTCCATCCTTCTACTTCAGACTTGGCTTTGGTATCATAGACTCATGAAGAGCAAGACCCATTTTAGATTTGCACTTTTCAGGTGCCTAGTGTCATAGAGTTTATTAGATTTGTCTCAAATAAGGTATTGTGGTTATAAAGTTTTTACTTGTAGTTTTTACTGACTTTGCAGAGACTGATCAAGTATGATCAGTTTTTAAGCTGACTGTGTTTACCTTGATATGCCTCTAGGCAAAATCAATTTAAAAACACCACCACACGTTGGCGTAACAGTTATAAAAATAGCATTTGTTTCAACTACTACAAGTATTTTGTTACATATTTATGGAAGGGTAAATTTGTGTGAAAAGCTGGGGGGGAAAAATTTCTTGCTGCTAAGGGAACATGACATTTGCAATCTGGCAGTGCTATTTTAAGCATAATAAACGTAAGAATATAACAGTATAAGATCTTCCATAACAATAGAAGGGAAAAAGAGTGAGCTGACTTTTTAGGTCCTTCCTCATAAAAAACGCATAACCTTAATCATAGTTAGTATAAAAAGTATTTCTAGTTTATAGAAAAGTGTTCTGAGTCTTTCCCTGGTGCCTTGGGTTCTTATTGCTGGAGCAGGGCTCACTGCATCTCTCACCCTGTTCATATCTATCCAGTTTGAGATGTTTCTACTTCCCCTGAATATGAAGGCAAAACTGCCCTTCTTTGGCACACTAGGACAGACCTCTTTGTTCAAAGCATGTATCCCATGCTAGTGCCAAATTAGGAATGCACCTCCATCATCCCTTGGCACAGCCAAAACCTGAATGTACATCTGGGGGAATCAGCAAAGCCAAAAAAGAGGTTGACCTGCTGCCACAGGCCCATGTTCCTGGCTCCTAAGTTCCCTGTTCCTCTTGCCCCTGAGTTAGCACTTGCCTACTCCACCATGTAGCACATCAGAGAATTAAATGGGCCAGGAACTACACACATTTTTGAGAGGCTTAGTTTACACCTGGATTTTATCCAAGGCCTGGGTAAGGTACAATTGCTACTGCCAGTGCAGAATAAAGTGAGCAGCTTGGGGCCTGGATGGCAGAGGGACAGGACCATGGTAACTCCCATGCAGACTCTCCTGGGTTACTGCACAACCTTACTGTTGGAAACCTCGCATCTTTTCTTCAAGCCTTCTCTTAAATGGGTACAATATCCACCACAAGCAGGGATAAATTTTGCAGAACTAAAGTCCGAATGACCATTTATTCAGGCCAATCAGGTGTGACGGCACCAGTCCAGCAGAGTCTAATATATGAGTATAGGATCTAGGATAAGAAGCAACATGGGCATGGGGGCTGCAGGGTGAACACTGTCTCTTAAAATAAGCTATAAGGTTTTTATTGTGTAAGTATCTCGTAAGAGATACAGGAGATACTTAGTTTTAAGTCCTATAAGTTTGGTTTTTCATTAATACATAATTTGTGAAGTTTGCTGGGTTGTGGTCTTAGCTAGAGTGAATTGGCATGTCTCCACTGAAGTCTGGAAGCAGCCTCAGCATTGTGAGCAGAACATCTGGTTCTGGCTTTAAAGATTATTTTGAACAGCTTTGCCACATGGTAAGCTCCTACAATACACACCTCTTTCCATGTCGTTCTTAATTTGCTCTTCCAAATCTTCTGGAGACACACAAAACTCCTGCTGCTCCCCGTCAGGTGCCTTCGGTTTACACTTTCCACAGCAGCAGTTGAAACAGCAGCAGAGGCAGCAGCAGAGGTAGCAGCCCGTCAGCAAACCACAGACTGCAAACAGGCCCTGGGTTGAACAGAGAGGGATGAAAATCCTGTCAGCAGTGACCTTCCTCAGACTTGTGGCTGTCTCTTACAGCTGAAGGCAGAATGTCAGAGGAACTCCGGTTCCTAAGTGCTTGGCACTCAGAGGAGTCTACCTGATTTCCCAGTGCCTGATCAAGGGACAGATCTTCCAAAGCCCTTCTCACCCACAAGTTCCTACATGTCACTAAGGACCACATCCACAAAGAAGACACCAACCAACAGGCCCCCACATACTCAATATTGCAAAGTCTGTTGTTCTGCTGATGGCCCTCAGAAAAATCCTCCAGGGAGTATGTAAAACCCCACCCACCTTAAAATGACTCATTTCCATCTTTAAAATGACTCATTTGCCCAAGATCATTTTTGCAAACACTTATTTACTGGCAAGCTCTTGTCAATAACAAAGCTGAGAGAAAAAGAAGCAAAGAGCCAGATGCATCCAGCATAATTTTGGGCACTGAGCTAAGGCATCCAGTTTAGAACTGTAGCTGCTACGGATTCCCCACACAGTCAAAGAGAAATTAAAAGCCCTTCCAGGGGGAGATTCAGCCATAAGAGTATTTGAATTGCCCATTGTGAGTGTCTCTCTCTCTCTCTCCCTCCATTAGCCTGTGCAGGACCACACAGATGACAGCTCCTTAATTATAGTCCTCAGACTATGGTTTCTTGATCTGGTCACTCAGGTAACAAGAAGTTCCCACCTTTGCTCACTCTTGTCCCCATGGCACAAAGTACAGAAGCTTCAGAAGAAACAACACAACTACCTGGGGCTAAGACCAGAAATAATAAGAGTCAAGAGCCAGAAAATTTAAATTTACAGAGCTTTCTTCCTTCACATGAAGCCAGTGCCTGGGTTCACAGCGCAGCTCCCCAGATGTTGAAGTGCATGCTGCATCACAGCAATGGGACCTGTAGGCTCAGGATGGCATTGCCACTCTGTGCTCCATGGGGACATGACAGCAGCCTGGCTCCTGACCCAAGGCAGATCCAGGACTACCTGGAGATGTTTGTGACACAGAAAAAATCTCCATGGACATCTCTTCATGGACATAGTAGTGTGAGAACAAAGAAAAACCAGTGACATTCCTGGAGAGCAAGTCAAAGCTGATGTGTAGAAATAAATGGAAAGAGGGTAGATTTAGATTAGATATTAGGAAGAAATTCCTCATTGTAAGGGTGATGAGGCACTGGAACAGGTTGTCCTGAGAAATTATGAGTGCCCCATCCCTGGGGGTGTTCAAGACCAGGATGAATGGATCTCTGAGCAATCTGGTCTAGTAGGAGGTCTCTCTGCACATGGTAGGGTGGTTGGAACTGGATGATCTTTAAGGTCCCTTCCAAACCAAACCATTCTATGATTCTCTGAATATGTAGGTAAAAGCAGCACAGCTTTGTGGCCACCAGGTATATATGGATTGGAGGTACAGCTAGGCTTTCACATTATAGTTATCCAGTATGCCCTTTGCTAACTATTTGTTGTATTCCTAAGGCTACATGCTGCTGAGGAAGAACGTAAGCACAAATGTCAGGATATTGTCAAATTTTGACAGTGGAGCTATGCAAATAATATTACGTATGCATGTCTGAGTTAACGTTAGTGGGGGCTGACTGGATCATCTTTGAAGGTAATAAGACTATTTCTATGCCTGATATTAATGTAAGCATGTATCTAGAGTGAGCAAGGTGGTTTTAAATGAAAAGAAGGACTCCAATTTTTTGTCTTAAAATGCTTTCCTTCTAATAGTCACCTGAAATGGTGCTATAATCCCTAAAATAAGTTATCTGTTTATCATTTATGCCATTATGGAAAATATATCACCACAATGTATAGAATGAAAAAAAAAGACAGAATGAAAGTGTATAGAGGGGAAAACACATTGAGTTTATTCATGAAACCTTTAATGTTTCAACACGTTTTGTACTTACATTATCATAGTTGTTAAATCAAGATTCAGTTTATTGAAGTCATCAATAAACAGTCTTCATGGTAGAGGGTAAAGTAGTTTTTGCTGAAACAGTTAAACAAACAACCCCTATACCTGCCAGTGGAAAAGCAATTTGAGTTCCCATTATCTATGCCTGTATGTTCCCAGTTTAATATGCCTGCTAAAAACTCTAGCACTCTGAAAAAGAACAGTAATTTTCATTTTTCATTTCCCCTTTCATTTGAGTTTCCCCACTGCTAATGATAAAACTCCTCACAACTCGGATTTTCCCAGTACGGGTGTGGTGGGAAGAGGAATGTTTGCAGTCAATGAAGAAGGTAACAAGCCAAGGCTGTTGTCCCTACTGTCCTCCACCAGAATGGAGGAAATCAGGAGTTCAGAGGTCATCTGCAGATGATGCCAGAGACTCAAACAGTATTATGATGACCAATATAAAAATTTCAAATTGATCCATTTGTGCTCGAGTTAAAAACAAATGAGAAATAGTGAGCTCCTCTTGCAAAAATAAAATCACAAAATCACTTGGTGGTCTCTTTATACTTTGGGGGTGGTAGGATTTTGGATTGGGGGAGACATAGAGAGACCACCTGTGATAATCTTCAAATGACTCTACATACATATTTTGGATTTTTGTACAAAATTCTTGAAAACCAGGAAGCAGTGATTACTTTGCTCTTCAGCATGTCTTGTCTCACCTCTGGGATACAGCTTGCTTGAAGCAATCTTCACATTTCTCCTTTAGTTGTTAGGGACTTATTAGCTTCTCTCCATACTCCCCACTGCTCTCTTTATGAGTCAAAGCCACAGTAGTTATTTCTGTACCTGATTTTATGACCCCAGAAGATTTTGTACTCCATAAAATCTCCATTAAAGATCACCAAATAAAAGAAAAAATAGAAGCTAAAAAAAAAAAAAAGAAACAGTAAAGAAAACCTTCTTTTGCCAAAAACTGTTAAAGGAGTCAACACTGTTGCCCTCTCAGCTAAGGCCACCTAGCTGTGATAAGGAGGCAGAAGAAGGGGGAATGATCCATCAGGAGATGACAGCAGCTGTGGTGGGGTGTCCAGCCTGCAGCAGGAGACAGCTACAGCAGCTGCAAGCAGGCAGCCTCCAACCAGCCTCTGAGGGGCAGCGCCTTTGCAAGTTTAATTTAAATCCCAGTACTTTACTCATTGGTTTCATCCACTGTTCTGCATTTGAGCAACTTCTGCCTCATCCTGATTCAGAAGTCAGATTATGGCTTCTCAGACCCCCAAAGTGCCCATATAACTTTCCAGTTTAAAAGGGACATGTGGGGCAATGCAGCACTGGCCTGTTCCTTGCTGAACAGAGAAATCTGTGTTTCACAGTTCTCAGATAAAAACTGTCATCGCATGCTTGCTTCAAACAGTACAGATCATCTTCCTATGTATTCCAGCACAGTCCAGCAGAGTGCTTTCCTGTGCTTCTGTGGCTGGAAACAGGTGGGGACTGCGTGGATGTGGCACATTTCCAATTCTCTTTGTTGCATTTCTGTAACATTTCAGTATTTGGAGAAACACCTGAATTTGATATATGCAAACATCAGAAGACAACAGTGTGGTAAGGGAAGAAATGAACCCAACTCCTTCATGACTGGAACAGCCCATTATGTTTTTTTTCTTGAGCAATATGCAGAGTTTTGATGTATCATTCTCTTCCATTCTACTCTCTTTTCCTCCATTCCACTCTTCTAACCTTTTCTTTGAGTTCCTTTGTCTCGCTCTGTCACTATGGCATGTGTATAATGCCGTAATCACAGTGTTATGTATTATTATTGCTTACTTATGTTGTATGCTATAAATAGCAAAAAAGACAGCTAAATTTGTACTGTAATAACTTATTAATTGGTTGTCACATAAATGGGGCTTCTTGTTTTTGAATAATGAGTCATTTTTATTTAGTCATTACAGAAAAGAAAGTCAAAATTAACCTGGAGCACTAGATTCAAATCTAATTAATGTCTGAAAGTGTTACAAAACATGTACTATAATTACATACCAGGTTAAAAAAAGAGAAAACTTTCTATATTAGTGCTATTCTGAGCCTTTGTTACATTCTGCCACGGTCAGTTTTCCAGATAATATTGTTTTATTAAGTTTTTACTTTAGAGTACTATTTCTTAAGCCCATAGAGATCATGTTTTTAAGGGAGTTCCTTGTATACGTAATTTTCAGTGTGCATTGTAACATTTTATTTCCAAAAGAAAATAACAGCTTACCTTTGCCCACCAGCTTGAGAGCATGAAGTAGGTGTTAACATTTTCCTCACCAAACTGTTCTGCCACATAGAGCCCTAATGATCCATACTTGTCATATATGTTTCGCTTGGACAGATCAGTCAGGGTTGCATGAGCATTGTTGATCTCTTTAAATTTTTCTGCAGCCTCTGGATTGTCTGGATTTTTGTCAGGATGATATTTCAGAGCCAGTTTTCTTAAATGTGAGACACACAAAAACAAACAAACAACAAAAAACAACAAAACAAAGGGAAAATAAGTCATCTGTATGTGTGCATGTATACAGACAAAAAACATTACAAAAATTATTTTCACCGAGTTATAATGATTCTGAACTGTGTTCAGCCTTCTTTTTTCCAGCTCTAATGTACTCAGTGGAAGAAAAGTGACACAAAGGTAACAAATATGAAAGTTTTGATGAAAGAGGTGTGCCTATTACACTGAGAATGAACTTTGTGTATTGATACCTAGTCAGCTACTGTGTTAAGCAGACAGTGATATATGATGAAAGCACAGATTGCAACACGATAATAAATCACAGGCATTTGTTGCATTATGATTGCCAACTCATTTGCATCATTTAGCAGGTTTTAGCAAAGATAAAGATTTTTTAAAGGTTGTTTAAAAACATGATGATCACACTGCTTATCCAGGCAACATTATTTTCTTCATAGCAAGGGAAATTCTGTGTTCAATTGCCTATCAATAGTAGTTACATTAAAATGTTGTAAACAGTGTCTGTGTTTGCAGAAGCCCAGACAGTGATGATGGAGAACACAGTTAGGAGTTGCAATAGAAGAGAAGCATCTTTCTGAAGCACAAGGTGGGAAAGCATAATGAGTTAATCCCGGTTTCAAGTGCCTGTCTTTTGGCCTAATTCCCCACTGCTGCACTTCTGAGACAATGTTAAAGCAGTTAAGGCGATTGTCATGGGATCATCATAGGAACCATCATAGAATAGTTATTTTCATAGGGTCATGGTGTGGTTAGGGTTGGAAGGAGCCTTAAAGATCATCTAGGTCTGGCCCTTCCACCATGGGGATGGACAACTTCCACTAGACCAGGTTGTTCAAAGCCCCATCCAGCTTGGCCTTAAAGACCTCTAGGGACAGGGCATCCACAATTCCCCTGAGCAAGCTGTTTCAGTGTCTCATGACCCTCTCAGTAAAGAATGTCTTCCTAATATCTAATCTAAACGTACTCCTTTTTAGTTTAAAGCCGTTGCCCTTGTCCCGTCACTTCATGCTCTGATAAAAAGTTCCTTTACAGCTCTCTTGCAGGACCACTTTAGGTACTGGAAAGTGCTCTAAGGTCTCCCTGGAACCTTCTCTTGTCCAGGCCAAACAACACCACTCTCTCAGCCTGTCTCCATCTCTCTGATCATCCTTGTGTCTCTTCTCTGTACTAGCTCCAGCAGGGACATGTCCTTCTTACTTTGGGGTGGCCAGAGCTAAATGCAGTAATCACTGTGTGGCATGAGAGTGGAGTAGTGTCAACTACTTTGGGCTGCTTATGCCATTGGAAGCGTTTACTAGGGCAGGGTTTGACACTGCTTTTTCCCCCTGACTGTACTCAGCACTATGGCATTTGAGGACAGGTAGAGTTGAAAACTAGAGTGTGTGACTCTTGGCTCACAGTGCAGGGGAAGCACAGCATCGAGAAGAAGGGGTTTGCTTCCAACCATCTTGAAGCACTGGTAGTGTGAGCTCACACACACTTGCAAAACAAGCATAGACAGAAGTATATATTTTCAAAAATCACCACTCCCTCTAAAGAACTGCAGGCTCCAAGACATTTATTTAATGACTAGTGCTGACCTCTAGTGGCATCAAAAGTGATTTAGTAGTGTTTTAAGCTAATTCAATCACAGCAAAGCTATGTTTCATTTTGTTTTCATTACTGTCTCCAAATATTTTGAGAGCTAGCCATAATTGCTCTGACAAAAATTAGTATTTGTGGTGTGAAGGCAGTGTGCCTACACTTCCTCTAACAAATTTAACCTGAGAGTGGAGCCCTAATAGATTTCCTTTTGAAGTCCTAGTACAGGTTAGTCCTCCAGTAAAAAGTAACTGCTTTGTTCCTGATGATAGTTCCTGCCTGGAAGACATTCTGCTGATATCGAGACTGATATGAGCCTGGGAACAGCTTCCTGGGAACAATCTTGTCAATTCTGTTAAGTCACAGAATCATAGGTCATAAATAACTCTCTAAACATGTGTCTAATAGTATGAATAGGGTTGTGTTCAGTCATATTTAATATACTGTACATATTGCTCCTTAAACACAAAGGCTTGGTCATGTTTAACATGTGCCCTAAACACAATAAAAAATTAAATATGAGAACTGAAAAAACAAGCTAAGTCTTGCATGACTAATGACATTATGTGTCATCCAAGTATTTAAGTAAATTATGCAATCTATCCCTTTTCTTACCTGAAAACAAAAAAAAAGAAGTATTACTTCTGAAAGCCCATGTATGTTTGCAGGCATGGGACAATGAATTTCCAGCCTTTCTTTATTTTCCCAAAGACCCAAAGACACCTTCTGTCTGACCTACATTCCAAACAATCTTATAAAAAATAAGAATTTGAACAGAATGTAGTTTTAAAAATATGAAACACATTAGTTGCACTCTCAATTTACCTAGTATTATTTTTGACTACTAACAGGATTACTTTCAGCAATTAACAAAAGATAATCTATGTTCTTATTTTGATTGTCCTAGTTTAGGGCAAATCAGGAAGGAAAACTCTAAATGGGACAAATGCTCTCCCTAAAAAGAGTACATTATCAAAACAACTCTGCACACTGATATGACCTGTACTAATTGGAGATGATTTAACAATGGGAGAAAGATCTAGATACTAGCAGTGCAATTCATATGAGTGTTAGCTATATGGTACTGTGGGTACCTGTGGGTCTCTGGAAAAGTGATATTCCCAGTTATATAATAAACAGGGTTCATTATGACAAAAAAAAAGACAAAAAAAGTAGGGAGTGAAAATAAAAAAGTAGTTTGTAGGCTACTTCCTATGCCAAAACCATGGGTTTATATACATTCGTATTCTTTTCATGGTGAATGGCCTTCTCCTACACCACCTTAGGATCACTGCCCACTGCAGCCTTCCACAACAGCAAGCAAGTTTGAGAAAGAAAAGTGACAACAAACAGAGAAACAGCTATGCCACAAGATGGGTAAATATGCCTTGGATAAGGCACTATGGAAATGAAGTCAGTGAAATCAACTCAAGACTGTCAGTGGGAGGCTTAGACTGAAAAGTGAGATCAGGCACAGGGATAGGTCTGATGAGGGTGCTTTTGAACAAGGATAGCAATATTTTGAAGACAGGGAAGTATGTTCTAAGTAGGGTCAAATATGACAACACTATGAAGTATCAGAGGATGTGAGCAGCATGTCCCCATGCTTCCTTCGATAGCTCAGCTGGTAGAGCGGAGGACTGTAGGCTCCCTTGCACGGCCATCCTTAGGTCGCTGGTTCAACTCCGGCTCGAAGGAGTCATCTTTTGGCTCTGGCACACATCCTGCACTGGCACTGCTGCCTTTTCCTGGTCCTGCCCAGGAGGATTCCTTTCAAAGGTCTGTCCAGGCATGAGCTCTTGCCTGAGGTTGGGAAGATGTCCAGACAAGGAATTTTTGGGTGAACCCTTGAGCAGGGGATGGTGGTTCTGGGCTCTGGAGTTGTCAGAGGTCACCTCCAACAGGAATGTGAGTGAGTGGCTGGTAGTGTGAGAGTGAAGATCATTACAGGGGGCTCAGGCTTTGGTTTTAGGGTATCCTGGGTCAGGGCTGGGTGCCTGGGAGGGGAGAGGACCTCAGTCAGAGGCTGCAGGGTGGGGAATTAGCTCAAGTGGTAGAGCGCTCGCTTAGCATGTGAGAGGTAGCGGGATCGATGCCCGCATTCTCCAATGCTTTTTGTTCCTCTTGTGTGGACACAGGGTCGTTTGTCAGGGATCCATCTATTCTCTGGGGCCTGTGGGAACATATATGGTGTATCCTGGATTTACAGAGGAGGATGACATTTAGGGTTGTGTCACCCTGAAAACTAAACCTTCTGATCTTGTTTTCACAGTTTTAGTTACTTTCCCAGGAAAGTAACTATAAACAAAAGGTGTTTTCACGTTCCTTTTAAGAAACATCTTTTGATGGACGTTTTGCATGACCAGTGTGATTGGGAAGGTGGTAACTTAATTATCCAGTCCCTGGTCATTGTCAAGAACCTATAAATACTGGAGTCAGAAAATAAAGCTACTTCTTTTTCTGTCATACCACTGAGACGTGGTCGTGTGAATCATTCCATGTCTTCTAGCGACAGGGCTGTATTAAGACTACTATGGGCAGTTTGGCAGAAGAATTGATCTTCTCCTTCTTTGCTGGACAGTTCTCAAGTATCATGCCCAATACAGGAAAAGGACCTCTATGGTATAGAGCCAATTCTGGAGGGCCACAAAGAATATCACTGAATTCTCTTTAAAGACAGGCTGAGGAGAGTAGGTGCTTTCAGTTTGCAGAAAGAGATGTTCAGAGGACTTACACATGATGTTCCAACACTGTTACAGAACAGAGAAATAGCTATCATTTTGTTTCTTCTTATGCTTGAGCAGAGGGCTGAAAACAGCACAGTGAAAGGGAATCAAGGAAAAATGCAGCGGTATAAAGGTAAGCTCTGTGTGGCCGTGAGGAAATCCATGATAGAAACTACCATCCAAGGATCTTATGGAGCATTTCTGTGGTTTGCATGACTGATGGGTTCTGTGATGTCTCAGCTGAAGCTGTTTGAAGGATGTGGTAATTAGAGGCATAATGATGCTCTCTGGCTTGGGAAAAGTGTTGGGTGAGGTCTGCCTGGGCATGTCCCCATGCTTCCTTCGATAGCTCAGCTGGTAGAGCGGAGGACTGTAGGCTCCCTTGCACGGCCATCCTTAGGTCGCTGGTTCAACTCCGGCTCGAAGGAGTCATCTTTTGGCTCTGGCACACATCCTGCACTGGCACTGCTGCCTTTTCCTGGTCCTGCCCAGGGGACTCCCCTTCAAAGGTCTGTCCAGTCATGAGCTGTTGTCTGATCTTGAGAAGTTGACCAGCCAAGGCATTTTTGGGTGAACCCTGGCCAGGAAATTGTGATTTTGAGCACTGGTGTTGTCTGGGATGACAACCAGTCGGAACATGATCAGTTGAGTT